AGAGAACTAGAAAGGCGAGGCTCACTGAGCCATTTATCCCTCCACCCTTCAATTAACCCCACACGTGTTTATCGGCCTGGTTGGCACAATAAACTAACTACCTTAGCTACCTTAATACTAAACCTATAAATATATGCACATAGATTGAAAATTAAGAAATCAGTAATCAAGTAATTTAACTGAAGCTCCACATATATATTAAACTGAATAAAGAAAACTAAGTTCTTCTGACTTCACTGCAGTATTTTATATAATACTTGTAACTGACATTCTGTGTAACATTAAAAGCATAATTTTAGCAAAGTTAGAATGAATTTTATATCAATAAATGCATCAAATCATAAAATGAATTAATTTTCTATTTCTGATGTACCAGTGAGGCTAAGAAGATAATTCTTTGCTTTGGATCATTTGCTCCCACCTGACCTCCTTGCATTTGCAGTTTTAAAAGAAAACTAGGTGCCATTAGTGATTTTAGCCTTCTGCCCATTAGGACACTTCCTGAACTCTACGAAATCTATTTAATAGCCTCATTGGCCAAAATCCTTTTGTCTTTAAATACATTTGTCATTGACTTTTGCAGATAGGTTGTTAATTCATTTCCGACCTGCTCTGGTGGTGTAGTGGCTTATGCTTTGGACCAGCTGATCTATAGGAGAAAGATTATGCTTCCTACTCCCATAAAGAGTTACCATCTCAGAAACTCAGAGGAGCTGTTCTACTCTGTTCTAAAGGATTGCTCTGAGTCAGAATCAACTTGATGGCAGTGGATTTGGTTTAGATGTTATCAATTATAGCAAACAGCACAGCTAGCTGCCTTTCTTGTTCATCCACTTACCTGCAACAGGGAATCATTGTCTAGTACAGCGGTTCTCAACCTGTGGTCACGACCCCTTTGGGGGTCGAACTACCCTTTCACAGGGGTTGCCTGAGACTATCAGGAAACACATAAATATTTCACAGTATATAATTACTGTGTATTCTCACGTATAGCTGAATTTTCTAGCACAGTTTAATACAGTTTTTGTGATAAAATTAGGTGCCTCAGCTGATATTCGTGTCAGCTTATACTCAAATATATGCGGTACAAATTGTTTTGTGATTAATCACTATGCTTTAATTATGTTTAATTATATTCAACTTGTAACAGTGAAAATACATCCTGCATATCATAATTACATTATGATTCATAACAGTAGCAAAATTAGTTATGAAGTAGCAACTAAAATAATTTTATGGTTGGGGGTCAGCACAACACGAGGAACTGTATTAAAGGCTCATGGCATTAGGAAGGGTGAGAACCACTGGTCTAGTACAATGGTTAACTTAATTAGTCTTCATAGTAACAACTTTTAAGAAGCCTTAGTGAGTGCTTTAGAATGCCCCAGTAAGCCAGATGAGCGTGTAATCTTTTATGGTTAAGGCAATTTAGATAAATTTGATTATTTTCTAAAGGGCGAATTAGCAACGTACATGATTTGCTATTTTGTGAATAGCAAGGGAATAGTGAGGGGAAATGTTTTCATTGCTGAAAATGGAGTTGTAAAGGGAAATAAAATTGGTGATTCTAAATACTCATGTTATTTCTAAGTTTTTATTCTTAGTACATCTGTGAAATAAGTTAACATGGATAAAAACTCATGGATTTGAGTGGTTTCTGTAATCATTTTTAAGAAAAATATGTTAGCATGCTGCAATATCTATTTTAAACTTATGAATTCTTAGATTTTATAAATTCAATCTATTATAACCTCCCTGAGAGCCAGACCTCTGGTTTTGTTTTGTTTCTGGGTTTTAGTTTTCCTCTCATCTTTGTATTTGTTTGTGTCTTTTTTTTACCCCAATGTGTCTTATGTATAGCTCAATGCATGCATTTTGAAAGGTAATTTCTTTTTAAGTTAGCATATACATGTTTTAAAACTTGCCCTGCTGGTCATTAAAGTATAATAGATCTTAGAGCTGCCCAATGGTGAAAATTTTAATATGCAATATATGTAAGAGGTTTTTGTTGATTACGTTCATCTAATTTTCAGTAAAGCATAATATGGTAAAGAATTAATCCTTTGACTTTTTCTCTTTTTTTCACTATCTATATTGAAGTCAATATAGAGTCAGCTTCGCAGCTTCAATCAGAAGCTTCATCAGCTGATCAAGGAGACACCACGGGCATAAATACAGCCCAACCAGAAAATAGCACAGTGGCTCCGAAAGATCTTCCGGAAAACTCCACCATTAACTACGACTCCCAGGCCCTCAATTTGCTAGCTGATTTGGCTTTAAGCTCTGCTACCTCTTCCACACCATCACCAGAACCTAGAAATGTCCCCTGCTTCTCTGAATTGCCACAAAATGATACTTTGCTTTCTAAAGAAAATTCTTTGCGTGGTACATCTGACCATGAATATCACAGAGGAGTTAAAAGTAAAAAAGGTGGACTATTACCTAAGCCACCCACCGATACAACAACTGACTCCATGCCAGATTTAGTCACTGTTCGCCGAGAGGCCGAGAGCGTGGCTCCTTGTAACCAACCCCCACCAAAAACACTAACAGCACTTTCTGAGGAAACACGAGAAACTCCAGATGCAAGCCAGAGCTCCTGTGTGATTGTGGAGCACTCATATGCCCTCCTTGGTGGAGAACGTTCAGAGAAACCTCTACAGAAAAGAGGGGTGCATGGCATTGCCTTTGCCAAGAATGGAACTAAAGGCTTGGAGACAAGGACCCCCGTGGGAAAAGTAATACCATTTCGGCATCAGTGCAACACCTCCCCTCTGAAAAAGGTTTTTGATTCATTGGTAAAGCGCAAGAATAAATTGATGCCTTCCAGCCTGAGCAACTGTAATTGCTCCCACACTGTGTTTAGCCATAATGAGTCAGTGAAGGTCACATTCAAATGTGAAGAAGATTATGTATTCAACCTAGATAGTAAATATACCAACAACTCACTAGAGAAAACTGTAATAAGAGCTTTACATGGGTAAGTATAATTTAAGCTCTTTTTAGTAGTTTTATTGCCATATAATTCACATATCATACAATTCAATAGATCAACCATATTAAAAAGAGTTGTGCAATCATCACCACATCAATGTTAGTACATTTTCTTCTTTCTTCTACTTGTTGGTAGCTTCTCATTTCACCATAACCTTCTGTGCCATGCCCCTAAGATGAACTATTAATCCAGCTAGTCTTTAAATTTACTTACCCTGGATTTCATGTGCAGGAAAAAAATCAAACAAACAAAACAATAGTAAAACAAGACCAAAATCTCAATAGAAAATAAAGCAGAAAACTGGAACAAATATAAATCAGGTCAAAAGGCAGTACAGATGACAGGGCGTCACATTTTAACCCAATCACCTCTGCAGTAATCAGCTGTATGATGCGCTCTGTCTGATAGCAAGGCCAGTTTTACATCCTGGTCCATAGAGAGGATTCACTGGAGACGTCATCCACATGGTGACCCTAAGTATAACTGAAACTTGATGAGGACCAAGGTTACTTTTTTGTGTAGATAAAATATAGGGAGAAGGGACACTTGTGCTAAACCTAAGGGAAAAGAAGTGTTATGTATAAATTCAAGCACTAATTTCCTCACTGTCCGTGAGCACATAGGGGAATTTAAAGATAACTTCAGCATTGTGAAAGGCTGTTCACTTTAAGATGCTGTTTCATAAGGTGTTTGCATTAGAAAGTGTAGATGAGATCTTAATATACAATAGGGTGCTACAGAGCTAGTGTTCAGCAGACTGAATTCCAGAAGAAACATTTAAAGGGTGACTTCTAACTTGCTGAAGCAGATCAGATTGAGTGAGCAGCTTTTGAAAACGGCAGCTTATACATCTAAAAAGGGACCAACGCAATATAACAGTGGTTTAAAACACAGGCATTGGTATCTGGGCTCTAACCAACCTTTGTGACCTTGGGTTTCTGTGCTCTGCATTCAAACTTTATTATGCTTTGTCTTGTCTCCGGATCCCATTGGACTGCAGATTTTGACTTTGTCTAAGGTTGGACCAGAGAGTTGATGTAGCAAAGCGATTTCCAGTTGATGCCAAGGAAGGCTGATTATCTGTAGCAGCACTTGTGTGGATGTAGTAACGGCCAAATTATGAAGCTCAGAAATTGGATACTAATAAAAAGCCCTGGTGGTACTGTGGGTCAGGCATCCTCTTGCTCGTTTTCATGTATACTATGTTTGTATCTCATAAGGGTCCTATTTTGAATCTTCATCCCGCCTAACTGCAGCCTACTAACACTGTAGCCATTCTGAGTCATTCCGTTCCAGCTATCTGCTATCCTGGCACATGCTCAGAAATACTTTATCTTCCTTTATGGTTTCCGAAACTGTAATCTTAAAATACTATGTTGGCAGGTACCATTCAAGTGGGTTCTAACACGACCCCGTGTACAACAGAACAAAACAACCTGATACTGTGCCATCCTTTATGTTTCAGCCATTGCTCTAGCTGCTGCGTCAGTACATCTCACTCAGGGGCTTCCTCTTTTTCTGATGACTCTCTCCCAAGCAGGATTTCCTTATCCAGATACTAGTCTCTCGTGATACCATGTCCAAAGTACATGAATTTCCATTCTAGTTTTGAAGGAGCATCCCAGCTGTACTTCCTTCGAGACATTTGTTTGTTCTTCCGGCAGTCCACAATATTCTCCATAGTCTTCACAATGCCATAACCGAGATGCATCCGCTCTCATTTGTTGTTTGCTTTCACATGCATATAAGACTACTGAAAAATAGCTTGCCTCTAGAGATAGTTTAATTTTCAGACTTTCCCAACTATTAGGAGGGAGACACAAAAATGATGAGAAACTGAGAGCCAGGCAAGGAAATGATTATTTGGGTAGTTGCTAAAACCAGTATTCACATACTGGGCATATTGTGTTTTTAATGGTGTAAAAGTAAATTATTAGACTAGATATTTGGAGACTCTGTATTCTGGTCCTAACTGCATATAGGTTTTGTTGTTTGGAACAAGCCACTTAAATGTTCTGATCCTCAGTTCTCTTTAAAATGTTTGCACTGGATACATTTTAGTGTTTTCTTCTTTCAGCTCAGTCCTTCTAGTGACAGTGTGGAGCCTATCCTCATCTCTGAAGGAAAGCAAGTAGAAAAAAACTAGTGATAGCTATAGTAGTTTTGTGTGATGTGTTAAATCAACTTCATGCTTACCTTTCTTCATTTCATGTTGATGAAATTCTAAAAACAGAACTAAGGTTAATAGAGCATTTGAATTACGGCAATAAGATCATGAATTAAAATAACTGTGTTCATTGATTTTTGTGCGCTATTGTTCTCAGGCCCTGGAACACTGATTTGCCTGATAATGTGGAAGAAGTGAAGCTTCTACTTCATATGTGGGTAGCTCTGTTTTACAGCAATCAGAACAGAGTCATACGGTCGTCCCGGAAGGTGGTAGAGCACAGCAATCCGGCAAAATATGTGTCTATAAATAGCACAGTGGGCGCCTTTGAATTTAGTGAAGTTGAGGAGCCCGACGATATGGAAAGCTGTCCACCAGACCCTCTGCTGAAGACCAGAGAAACTTCCAAGGGTCAAGCCACCGAAATGTCCCTATCTGACACTAACACATTGCTTCCTTTCATCAAAACACCACCTAAAAGAGGCCTGGAACCCTGTGTCCAGAATGAGCAGAAAGAACGTTTTGCAAGAGAAGGTCATCAAGATGGCTGGGAAAGACAGAATCTCACCTCTTGCAGCCGCGAGGTGAGTAAAAAGCTACAGCATGCTGCCATCTTAAAATATATTTCCTCTTTTCCCGTAGAGTGCAGTCCCCAGCTAGGTACAGAACTATAGTGCCATAGCCTGGTGGTCATGAAGTATCACTTTGATGAGTGTCCTGATTGAAGACACGGGACTGGGAAGAAATCTCAGGGGCCAAAGGATCTGGGTGCTGACCATAACTTTGTTGCTTTTTAGATAAATACGTAGAGCAAGTTACTTGTTCTCACTGAGCTTAGGATCTTTTAAATGAAATGAGTAATACCTGTCATACTTTAGCTAGAGTATTCTTTAGGGATGAAATGTAGTAATAATATCAGAAATCCTTTGATACACCTTAAAGTAAAATTGATTATTTTTTGAAGAAATTAGAACGCTAAGTAAAATGCCAGACCTACGAGAGAAGAGTCATTGCAGATAGCTATTTCTCAGTTCTGTTCTGTAGCATTGTTCTCAACCGATATGCATCCATGCCATATAACCCAAATTCGAATTGAGGAACATAAGAAAAGTTAAGTCAACATTCTAAGGAAATGAATAGAAAAAGACAGGCGATGGAGGCTTTTAATCTTGTGTGCACTCTCAGTCTGTCTCAAAGTGAGTAGACAATACTGTACTTCTTTGTGGATGGTTCCTGCATATTTGTAGGTTTGTGGCTGAGCTTCACAGGGTCTGTGAATGTTTTCAGGTGACTATCATCATTATGAAAACCAGCATTTATTCAGCCATTTATGCCAGATAGTATTCTAATTCCTTTACTCATATTAAGATTTCATAGCAACTTTTTATATGGGGTCCATAAATTTCATATGGTTCTCAACGAGGAACAAAAGCCAGTTAATACTAACCTTAGAATAAGAAAATGCTTATGACTTAGGTTGGCAAATTTCAATTACTACCTATATATGAGGGTAAGTAAAAAAATATTGTTTCTAAGGTTTCAGTTCATATATACAAGATTTATTCCAAACAAAACATTTAAACACTCCTCTGCCATCAGTGGGTGGCTGCAGACACGTTCTCTCTGTATATACTAGTCTTGATGGGGTGCTTTAAAAACAAGTCCAATCAAAACAGTGACTTCTGAGGAAATCTCCTGCACTAACGCAAAGTCATCATCTCAGAAGGTTGTTGCTTTAGGTCCCATTTAGTCCGTTCTGACCCATAAATACCGTATACACAAGAGAACAACATACTGCCTGGTCCTATGCCATCCTCATTGTTCCTTTGTTTGAGCCCAGTGTTGCAGCCTCTGGGTCAGTCTGTGTCCTGGAGGTCCTCCCTCGTTGATGCTGCCCTAACCAAGCATAATGTCCTTCTCCAAGGACTAGTCTCTCTTGACAACAGTATGTAAGATGAAGTGTCAGCAACCTCATGTCTAGGCAGCACTCTGGTTGTACGTCTTCCAAGACAAGACTGCTTTGTCCTTTTTAGCAGTCCATGGAACTTTTAATTTTCTTCTCCAGCACCACCATTCAAATGCACTGATATTTCTTTGATCTTCTTTATTCAGTGTCCAGCTTTCACATGCATATGAGACAATTGAAAATATCATGGCTTGGGTCATGCGCACCTTAGTCCTTCTCAAAGTAACATTCTGATTTTCAATATGCTGAAGAGGTCTTAGGCAGCAGATTTACCTAATGCAACACGTCTTCTGATCTCTTGACTGCTGCTTCCATGAGCGTTGATTATGGATCCAAACAAGACAAAATCCTTGGCAACTTCATTCTTTTTTCCATTTATCATGATGTTACCTCTTGGTTCAGTTGTCAGGAATTTAATCTTCTTTACATTGAGTCCCAATCCGTATGGAAGGCTACAATCCTTGATCTTCATCAGCAAGTGCTTCAAGTCCTCACTTTGAGCAAGCAAGATTGTGTCATCTGCATATCATAAATTGTTAATAAGTCTTCCTCTAATCCTGATGCCATGTTCTATGATGATTCGCTAAGCTTACAGGTTGAATAAGTACAGTGAGAGGATACAGCACTGTCAACACACCTTTCCTGTTTTTAAATCATGAAGTATTCCTTTATTCTATTCACTTCTCGATCCATGTAGGAGTTCCACATGAGCACAATTAAGTGACCTGGAATTCCCATTCTTCTCAAGGCTATCCATAGTTTATTTTGATCCACACAGTCAAATGCCGTGGCATAGTCAGTGAAACACAATAAATATCTTTCTGGTATTCACTGCTTTCAGCCAAGATCTATCTGACATCAGCAATGATATCCCTTGTTCAGTGTCCTCTTCTGAATCTGACCTGAACCCCAGGAAGCCTTACCCCATCCACCCAACAACTCTGATATTCCCCATTCAGGCATAACTTTTGTTTCTAAGCTTCAAAAATATAGAAAAGGAACACAGTTTGTGTTGCTCGAGGATGCTAAAACTCTAATTTGACATGGTGTAAATTGAAGAGCACGGAATTCTTTTGGGAAGGGTTAGAGAAGTATAAAACTACCTCCAGACTCTAATAGACCTAGATGAAGGATATATAGAGAAACAGTACCTTCAGATTTTGAGATTTTTGCTTAACAGGTTCCTTTGGTTTTGTAGTGATATTATTTTATTTACCATTCTTGTACTTTTTGTTGTAATATGTAACTTTTTGGCATTTGCTTTAGGAATGTCTTTTGGCACACATGAAATTGTGTGTAAAGACATAAAATGTGGAGTATCAGGATTAGTGCTTCTTAGCAATTTCTCTAATGTATGCTTGCAAAAAAGTTTCCTGTCACTTAGGTGCTATACTGCATGTCTGTTTTTGCACATCGGCTGGGGTGTATAGCGTGACAAGCATTTGAAGCCAATCATAGTTCTCTACTTTTAGTCATTTGTTTAATTTAGTACTTCTTTTAAATTAGACTTTCTGTTAGAAACATTACATGCTACCTGCATTTAAAATATAAATGTATATATAAATGCATAAATGTAAATGAGAAGACTTGTCACAATTTGCATTTCACTAAGACTTGAAACATGGAATACCAACCAAAACCAAGCTCCGTGCCATCTAGCTGATTCCAGCACCTCGTGGCCCTAAAGAGCGTTACCAAGAATTTCTCAATCTTTATGGGATACGACAGCCCCATCAAATCCACCAGGCTGAGTGGCTGGTCAATTTGAATCTCTAATCTTGCAGTTGGCAGTCCAGTGCTTACTGTGCCGCCAGGACTAGCATCTACCAAGGCATGAGATGTAAGAAAAGGCCACATCAGGCATGGTGAGTTTCAGGACTGTCCAAATGTTAACAGGCAGAGCATGATTGAGTGAGTCACAGGAAAGTTAACAGAATGACTTCCACCAGCAGCGCTGGTGCAGCGCTTTGTGTCTAGTCAGGCACCCCCTCTGAAAATTTCTGAGTCTCAGCTTCAGCCCTCCTCCTTCCTTGGGTTGGTGTCTTTCTTTTGCTTAAAGCAGAAACGTATTTAACAAGAAATTTGAAACACAGGCACTGACTTCCAACATGTTTGCTTTAGGACATAGTAGGAAATCGATGAATATAAAGTTTCATGGATTATCAAAAAATATGGCCACTGTACATAGGCATTTCGTTTGTTTATAATATTATAAACTTTAGAAAAACAAATGGACAAAGCCCTATTTATAAAGTTAACAAAATTTCTGCTAATGTTTAAGTCCATTGTGTTACTGTTTAAATCAGAGACTTGGTGATGCAGTGGTTAAGCACTTGGCGTTTCACCTAAGGTTAGTGATTCAAATCCACGCGCTATTCTGCTGGAGAAAGCCATGTGCTCTTTAAAGATGACAGCCTTGGGAACCTCATAGGGAACTTGTGCTCTGACCTCTGGCATTACCTCAAGTCTGAATTGACACAATGGGAATGGGTTTATTTTGTGTTGTTGGGTTTTTTTTTTTTTGGGGGGGGGGCGGCTGTTGGGAGGTTACTGTTTAAATCAGTCCTTGTTTGTTTTTTAATGGAAATCACATTGATAAGTTTGATTTTGCTCTGGGAAAAGAGATATTATAATGAGAAATTATAATTGAAAGGAAAAAATCCATTGAGTGGATTCAAAGCATAGTGGAGCATCTGGTGGGTTGGAATTGCTGACCTTTCCGTTTGCAGCCAGGCACTTTAACCACTGTGCCACTAGGGCACAAGACTTTAGTTTACTGGACTGGAGATTGATACAATAGGAAACCTGCTAATCATTGTATTCTGAATATAGCACACAGTAATTAATATACTCTGTTTTCTCATAGTAAGGCTCCAGAGTACATTGTATTTATAATCAAAAGTTGATGTTAAAAAGCGGCTTAAAATTATCTTTTAATCTTATTTTTAAAAACAATTGAGTACTTTTCTCTAGCGCTGAATTTCTGAGCTAAGTGATGTAAACAGATTGCATTTATGTCTTTGAAATGTCAATGGTCTAGCTACTTTTCTTCCAAGAGGTCCATTTTAAAAAAACTGTTGGTGAAATAAAGTTTTTATGCTGTCATCTGTGTATATTTCTAAAGAACCAAGTTCCTACATCGAGAATATTTTAAGCATCTCAAAAGAGAAAGATTAACTCCCCAAATGATAGCCTTACAATAGAAGAAAGAAAAGATGCATTTGATCCTCATCTTTTCTGTTCTTATCCCTACATAATTGTCAAAAAGAAAAATCTTTCTGATCATTTGTTTTGTTGTTTCAGGTCATTGGGAACTCTGGACAAAAAGCATCAGATAAACTAGAAGCTTTTAATGTTGTGCTCTCTAGTATTGGAAGTACCCAAACGTGTGGACCTTCTATTCCTGATGAAGATAAAACCTCTGAGCCCCTTGATGACATAAGAATGACTTCTCATAATGCTACTGTCACACAAACCACATTCACCAAGACTTGGGATGGGATCAGCAATCAGTCAGCAACTTGTCAAAAGTCAGTGGACAGCACTCTTGAAAATGAAGTTGATATTTCTCATGCAGCTATGCAAGTGAAAACTGGGCCTTTACAGGGTCTTGTCCAGCTTAACAGTTCCACAAACAGAGCATGTCAGCCTTCATTGGAAAGGAAAGATGATAATATGGGGTATGTAATGGTTAATATGGAACCATTTACTCTCACATTTGAACAAAATGTACCAATACAGACAGAAGTTGTAAATAGAGCTGATAAATCTACAACCTTTAATATGGAGTTGATTAAGCAAGTATCACCTGGCACAGTTCCTAGCCATCCTGTGTCCACATTTGAAAAGGCCCAAACACAAGGCCTTAAGGACATTGCATCTATAGCAATGTCCGGACAAAAAAGCAATAAGTACCTCTGTGCCTCCTCAGTAAGTAGGGAAAGAAAATGTGCTAAGAAAATGTGTTCATTACAGAAAGAGAGTCCTCTTCCGTTGTCGACATCTGATAATTTGGTGGTAACAAAGGCAGTATCATTAGTTAAAAGTTCTAGTTATGCATTACCCAGCGAAGAAGTGACACTCTCTCAAGACTTGCAAACTCAAAGACTCGTCAGCATATCTTCAGAAGAGATTGTACAGCCATCACAGTTTGAAGATGTTGTCCCAACATGCGCCTCTACTCTCTCAGGAAGAAATCATCCACTTAACTGTGCTCCATCAAATAGTAATATAGTAGATGGCTCTTTAGTACTAAGGAAGAATGATAATAGTCTAAACAGTGAAAGTAACAATCTTGAGTCATTTAAGTCAGCGTTTGCCAAACAAACCATGAATAGAGAAGAAGTTAGCATAGAGTTATCAGAGGAAGATTCTGACATTGACCTCACTTTAGCATTATCGCCATCCACAAGTCCCAGTGAGCAAATTCCAGCTGACGAAACAGAGCAACTTCAAGAAGCTCCATTATCAAGTGTAGTACTTAGAAAGATAGCTGACAAAATAATTGATCCAGGAGAGGTGACACTCATCAGAAATAGAGAAATTAACTCTGAAAATTGTACCTCAGTATCAGAGGAGTCATTGGAAGATGAGAGAAAAGGTGATGGTTTGCAATCTGTTCCTGTAGTACTTTCTAAAGACAGTTCTACCTCGGAGTTTTCAGGTGGCAGCAATTTCCCTTTTTCTTCCTTAATTGAAGAAGTGTCACCACCTTCTAGTCCTGACCCGCTAGCACCAGCTGAGGAAACACTACTATCTAGGGCTGCCGCTCCCTGTAGCTTAAAACTCCCAGATACTCAGTGTGAGAAAAGCAACAAAGCCTCCCAGGTTGAGTCAGTCCAGTTAGTCGTAAGAGAAAATGAAAATTCTTTTGCTGGTCAGACCCAACCAGTGGAAGAAGATGACTTAACTCAGGTACAACAAATGCAGCATTATGCTAAAATACCTCTAGTGTTAAAAAGTCATCCAGGAGAAAAAGATAGGCATTTAACCCTTCCTGGTGAAGTAACTGAGGAAGTGGTCCAAAATAAGTATGAGGTTCTATCTCTCCCAGAAAAGGTGCAGGGCTGTGATGCAGAATTAAAGCCGTCTGCTACAACAGCCAAATACGGAGATGATGTTAAGCTATGTCTTGAAAAACAGGTAAAATCAAAAAGTCCATTACAGCCGGTTAATATCAAGAATAGATATGTGAACTTACAGCGTCTTTCCTTGGAGCCCAAGAAACCACCACCTAGTCCTAGAATGAGTGTTGGAAATGAGTCTTTGGCCAACACTTTTCCTTCGACAGCGGCTTCAAGTAGTGTAATGAATGTGCCTTTAAAACATCTAACTAGCTCTAAAAGCATTGAGAAAAATCTACTTAGCAGTGATTTGAAAACCAATGAAGGAAATTACTTGGAGATCAAGTCCTTGAATTCTGACTCAGCTGATGGAGTTATTACACAGGAATATACACACCCAGAGATCCCAAACTGTGGTTTTCCGTCAGACAGTGCTACACTAACTCACCCTGTAAGACCAATGAATGTAGAGGAAAGGGTTCAAACACAGGAAATACCCATAGTAAAAATGGCCAAATTGCTTAAGAATAATGACACGAACGCTGAGTTTCATAAAGAAACCATAGACGGAGGAGCTATTGGCGTGCAGTTTAGCGCCGCATCATCTTCAAAAGGTGGACCAACAAGCCATACGCTGGAAGATACACCAACATATAAAACAAAAGATCTGTTGAATAGTGGATTTCCTCCCATGTGTGCTGGGTCTAACCAAAATGCAGCAGGCACCAGTGAATATACCAGTAACGAACCTCTTGCTTGCTTTAATTCAAAATCTCATGACTCGCTTGTTTGTGGACTCTCTAAAGAACAAATGGAAAATAAGAGCACTAGTGAAGGACTTGTGACCGAGGAGGGCCCTGAAACCCAGCAAAGAGACATGGATCTCATTGTAGACACCGACTTGCATTATGAACCACTCTCTGGAGACTCTGATGAAGACTCTCTTGGTGCATACAAAAGTACCAAATCAGACCTGGAAGACTCTTGCACCTTGAGAGGTAGTCACATCCGGAAAAGGAAAGCTGCTACTGATGATGCTTATCCCTCTTCTGTGAGCCTAATCCATAGTGATAAGGAAGGCTGGCGCTACTGTAACAAAATGTCAAAGTTGGAGACCAGCGTTTCTCCCAGAAACTGGCCCAGTGGCTCCAAGAAAGAAAAGTGTGTGCCATGTTATATCCAAATCCGAGATCTTCATGGTATACCCAGGACCTACACTAACTTTACTATAAGCAAAGAGCTCAGAGACACCACGAGAACACTCCATAGCTTGAGGAGGCACCCCAGTTTCACTGCAAAATGTGACCTGATCAGCTCCTGGACAAGTAGTTGGCAGATAGCAGATGACCTCACCCAGAACACTTTAGATCTGGAACACCTGCGCTTTGCACATAAGCTAAAGCAACTTTTAAAGAATGGGGAATCTCGGCATCCTACCTCTAGCCCCAGTGCTTTTCTGAAGCAGTCACCTATCCGAACAGCTGTTGGCGCTTTCCCCTTGACAAAGATCCACGAGTCCCCCATGCTATTTCCTGCGTCCAAGAACAGGAGCCCCCTTCAGGTGACAATTGTTCATGCAGACCCTAGATGGCTAAGCCAGCCAACGAGAAGCTATGCGCCTTACAGTGCGGACAGTTCTCCCTCCTCCTGGAAGGAGAGAGGTACTCACAGCCGACCTCATCTCCCAAATCAGACTGTGTCATTCCATCTCAACAAATTGAAATACAATAGTACTTTGAAAGACTCTCGGAATGACATTTCCCTGATTCTCAATGAATATGCTGAATTCAACAAGGTGGTGATGACTAACAGCCAAGATAAAGAGTTAAGTGTTGCTTCTGGAGAGCCCACATCTCGAGAGAGAGACTCCCCTTTCCCAAGGAAGTCATCCGTTTACGAAGATATGGTTACAGATTTGTGTACCAGTTTACATGTCAAACTAAACAATGTTGTGAAAGAGGCCTGTAAAAGTACCTTCCTATTCTACCTTGTTGAAACTGAAGACAAGCCATTCTTTGTAAGAACAAAGGTAAAGTGCCTAGCTTTTCTTATAGTTCATAGTATTTTGGTTGACTTCTAATTTTTGCTTCTTTTAGAGTAATACGTTTCGAAGTCTCAGCTTCAGAAAGCAAGCACGGAATGAGATGGCATTTTCACCCCACATGAAATTTCGCAGCTCAACCTTCATCTGTGTAGTTAATGTGCTACAAGATTCTGCCATTTGTATTCTATTTAAAGATTTGTATTACATTGTAGAATTTGGTTAGAAAGAAAATTTCTCCATGCACTGATTAATTTTCATCAGTTATCAGTGTAGATGTGCCCAGAGTCTAATGTAAACACAAGCATATTCCAAAGCTAAATTAGAAATGTAAATATTATTGCCTGTGTTCCCTTAGTGTATGTAGCTAAGGTCCCAGGGACCCTTTTTGGTTTAGGTTGAATTTTTAAATTTTGAATGTTTGGATGACCAATGTTCTAGTGAGTACATACATGGCCCCTAAATATCATTGCCACATCCTTCCTGAACTTCTGACTTAGGAGGATCCAGACTCTGAAGGGATTCACCTCAAGGCTCTTCATTTCAGCCTCTCGGGGTTTATGTTCTCTTCTACTGGGGGATAAACTATTTCCTGATTACATTTTTAAAGTGGCTTTTACTTACCACAGAAAAACACAAATTCTATGCAAAGGTGAAACCAAACCTCAAATGAAAAAGGAGATACCCGGATGATAATTACTCTGTCCTGGAGAGTCAGGCAGCATTAATGAACTGAGTTGTTAGATAAGTAAGTTGGCTATAAATACTTCATTAGAGTTTTTTATTAGACTCAAGGCCAAAAGAAATACTGTCTGTAATAATTTTTTTGAAATGTATGCCATACGGATTGTGTAATGAATTAAAATCATTAAAACTTGAGGAGTTTTGCAATCCCAAGGGAAAAAGATCAGAGTAACATTTTAGAAAGGGAAACAGCAGGTGGTGGTCAGACCTAGTGGTTTTGCTTTTGCCAGGAAGCAAAGCATCAGAGTGTGCAATAGAAACCGCCAGAATCCTTAAGACAGAAAATGCAGTGTCAAAATCACAAGGGACGGAAGGGCTAAGGAATTTCTGTGATTCTTCAGGCAAACATATTACGGACTGAATCTGTTTACTGCAGTAGTAAACCACCTCAACCGTGCTTTCTGTGGAGCCAGGTGTAAGCTACCTCATGTGCCTTATTCAAGCACCTGCATTCCATGGATTATGAAATTAGTTCCCATTAGTGAGGCTCAAAGGAATGCATAGGCATTGTGGGGAGCAATAAAAAGGAAAGTTCTAGAACTTTTTCAACCAATAGCATTTTAAGAGTGAATAAGTAACACCCAAAGATGTATTTCCCTTGAAGAAGGTGAGACTTGTTTGTGTACATTACTCTCATGCTTTGGTTTTGTTTTTAAAAACACAGCTCTTATTACGTTATGGACATAAAAGATTACAAAGTGCCTGTAAAATAGACTTTTTCAGAGTCATTTGTTATACAGAAAAAAGACTATTTAATACTCACAAATTACCATTTGTGTTTCCTAGGTAAGTTATAATTTAGCAAATAGGATAAATTGTGCTTTTCTCATGGATTTTTAGTTAACTATAAAAGTAGTACCATGCAAGTATCTATTTTTTAGTAACGACTACTTACAATCTTACAGAATATTCTGAGGAAAGGCGGTCACACAGAAATCGAACCTCAGCATTTCTGTCAAACTTTTCACAGGAAGGATGATACACTCGTGGTCATTATCAAAAACGAGGATATATCTTCACATTTGCATCAAGTAAGTTTAGAAACATATTTCCTAAAAGAAATGGATTATAAGCATTTGTAATCCATATGGGGTATTCTGTAAATATCAGACACACCACTGCCTTTTTCATTTAGAGACGTTAAAATGCATTCCCATTGAATGTTTAATTGGAAAACAATGAGATCATGGATCCCTTTGATGAGACATAGAGTGGATATCATGAAATGCTGCTGTTGTCAGTGGGTAGTAACCCTATAGACCCTTAAGTGCTGATGCTGGGACAAGGGAATAATGGGTGGATTAATGTGAAATAGTTCCTTACTTTACAGATCCCCGAGTCCTCAGATATGCTCTTCCTTACTGGAATTACTGTCATTTCCACCTCTTCAGAGCTTTAGAGGCCTCTTGTGCATTGCTTTTGTAGCCATTGCTGAACTTAATAAACACAAGGGAACTTCCTGAAGTTGATAGTAAAATTCTGTTATCTTTTAACTCCATTTTCCCCACAAGTTTTTTGAAGAGTTAAGAGATATTTGCACTTATTCTTCCTTGCGGTGCTGACCCCAGTCCCAACGACTTGAACATCCCACCCCCCACCCCCTACCCCCAGAAGAATGCACTTGAGAGGACAGTTCTGAAGCTATAGCTCAGAGAGCGGGGCACATCTGGTGAGAGCACACAGGAGCAAACAAAAAGGAAAGGAGAGAGAGTGGAACACATCCTGGCCCGCCAAGCAGGATGGTATTCCTGCTCAGAGCAGCCAATGCACAGAGAGGACCATAGGGCCTGCCCCACCACGAGACACAGATGACGTCCCTTATTGACCCACTGACTATGAGTACAACACTGGAAACACAGGGAATTGTGCCCAATCTGATCATATCACATTGGGGCGAAACACTGAGGGTGTGCAACAGAGCAGCAAGGGGAGAAAAGCAATGAAGTCCCCGGGGAATACAAAAAATAGACTTCGGGGCCCGGG